CCTCCAGAAGTTGTGAATGCTCCAACACTGGAGGTTTTTAAGAAGAGATGGGACAACCCTTTGTCTGAAATGGTATAGGGTTCCCTGCCTGAGCAGGGGGCTGGACTAGAAGACCTCCAAGGTCCCTTCCAACTCTGTTAAGTCCCTCTCCTCCAGGCTGCAGACAGCGGAGTGGCCTTGAAGGGCAGAAGGAAGCACCACAAACAAGGCAGCAGTCAGATAAGGGGGACTTATCAGCCTCTCACCTGTTTCCTCCTTCCAGGCCAAGATCAGGGGCTCCTGCAAGCTCTCATGCTCCAGGCGGCAACGATAATGGTCCCTCTCCTTGGGGTCAATCTCAATGCTGAGCCAGACATAATAGGTCCCATCTGAGTTTGGGGCCACATTCCTACGGAGGGTCTCGTACTTGCCCACCTCTCTTTTCCTTCTCCAGGTGGCCTGGATCTCCTTGGGATAGAAGCCGTAGGCCTGGCAGATGAGGACCTCCAGGCTATCATCCACCACCTTGCGAGTCACTTTCCCCACCAGGGGCTCTGCAGAAGAAGCAACACCTGAGTTAACAGGATTTTGAGAGTTTCTGTCCAGGTGATTGAAATAGCAAGACCTCCTTGGGTCATCCTCTCCCTCTCTTCTCTCTCCTTGCTTGAAAGTGTGGGAGCCTGAAACACGGGGCACTGAAGCTCTTTAGATTAAGCTCTGAAAGACAATGCATAGAATTTGGGGCAAAGTTCCTACTTTGACCAAAATGGTTGGAATGTTTTTGGATTGATTCAATTTCGATTCCCCCCATCCACTGGAATTGTATTTGAATTTTCAAGATGGAAACCCAGGTAATCTGTAACTGGCAAGCATCCGTTTAGATTATGCTCAAAGTTACAACGGCATTGAAAAAAGTGACTTGTTTTTCACACTTACGACCATTGCGGCCTCCCCACGGTCACATGATCAAAATTCAGGCTTTGGGTAACCGGCTCCTATTTATGATGGTCGCGGTGTCCTGGGATCACGTGATCACATTTTGCGACCTTCCAACAAGCACAGTCGGTGGGGAAGCCAAATTCACTTAACAACCGTGTTACTAGCTGAATAACAGGAGTGATTCCCTTAGCAATTTGGCAAAGAAAGCTTGTAAAATGGAAATGCAAAACTCATTTAACAACGGTCTCACTTAGTAACAGAAATTTTGGGCTCAAAATTTGGCTGCATGGGGAAGCCAAATTCACTTAACGACCTGTTACTAGCTTAACAACGGGAGTGATTCCCGTAGCAATTTGGCGAAGAAAGGTTGTAAAATGGGGCAAAGCTCATTTAGCAACTGTCTCACTTAGTAACAGAAATTTTGGGCTCCCTTGTGATCGTAAGTCGAGCACTACCTGTATAAATTCACTTTTTTGGTTCTGTCCCCAAATGCATGATATGGAAATTGCCATTTCTTCTGCTTTCCAAGATATTTCTCAGGCAAATAGAACCGGATCTTGTAGCCTTCATCTCTTGTTCAGTTAGATTCCTTTTCTTTATTTTTGAAAGAATTTATTTGGGGGGGGAGGTCACTGAAGATTATTTCCCCATTGTTCTTCCGTAATCTGATGTGAGATACTGCCCAATCTTTTTCTGCTAAGTCCATGAAAGGTGTTTGGCTGTGTAGGACAGAAATAATATGGGGAGGGCGGGGGAAGAGGACTGAACCTATAAAAACAAAATGAACAAAATTCCCAATTTGGGGACTGATTAGATTAGGTTAGATAACCTTTATTGTCATTTTTTTTCCTGTGGGCACAATGGCACACATTAAAAATGAAATTTAGTTGCTTCCTCTCAAAGTGTAATAATAATAATAATAATAATAATAATATTAATAATAATAATAATAATAATAATAATAATAATAATAATAATAATAATAATAATAATAATAATAGTAAAGTTGGAAGGGACCTTGGAGGTCATCTAGTCCAACCTCCTGCTCAGGCAGGAAACCCTATACCATTTCGGACAAATGGCTGTCCAGTTTCTTCTTAATTTCCAATGTTGGCGCATTCACCGCTTCTGGAAGCAGGTTGTTCCACTGGTTAATTGTTCTGTCAGGAAATTCCTCCTTAGTTCTAGGTTGCTTCTCTCCTTGATTAGTTTCCATCCGATGCTTCTTGTCTTGCCTTCAGGCACTTTGGAGAATAGCTTGACACCCTCTTCTTTGAGGCAGCCCCTGAGATATTGGAACACTGCTATCATGTCCCCCCTCGTCCTTCTCTTCGTTAAACTAGACATACCCAATTCCAGCAACCGTTCCTTATATGCTTTAGCCTCCAGTCCCCTAATCATCTTTGTTGCTCTTCTCTGTACTCTTTCTAGAGTCTCAACATCTTTTTTACATCATGGTGACCAAAACTGGATACAGTATTCCAAGTGTGGCCTTACTAAGGCATTGTAAAGTGGTATTAATACTTCACGTGATCTTGATTCTATCCCTCTGTTAATGCAGCCTAGCACTGTGTTGGCCTTTTTGGCAGCTGCAGCACACTGCTGGCTCATATTTAGGTGATTGTCCACTAGGACTCCGAGGTCCCTCTCACAGTTACTACTATTGAGCAAGGTACCCCCTATACTATACCTGTACATTTGGTTTTTCTTGCCTAAATGTA